TTGGTAACTGAATGAATTCCATGCTGGATGCAAAACCAGCATGATGTGAGAAGAAATTCTGGTGAACAACATCGGGTTTTCTCTTGTGTCTTTCTTTATTTAAAGTAAGACACTGGTGCTATTGGGCCTGCCCTGCCCCCCTCTCAATTACATGTGGACTCTGCTGCCTTAATAATTCTCTCCACTGATGGAGACCTGAAAGCCTGTGAGATACAAACAATCTGTTTCAGAGGAGTTTCTTGTTGCTAGGAGAGTGCAGCAGAGCTGTGGACTGCTGCCCACTCTGGTGTTTTGGCAATGCTGACCTCAGAGAGCTAGGTTAGTGTACATATATCTGCTGTGAGCTTGGTGATTGTGTTTTTGTATCTGTCTACCAAGACTAAATTCTACTTCCCTGAAGTAATTATTCATATGCATAATGACTAGAGTTATTGCACATTTAGCAGAGGATTTCCTTAATTGCCTCGTGACAGCAACTTTTATCTAGCTGTAAGATGGCATGTTTAGGCCTGTCTCAAGCAGTTCTGTGTACCTGATTTCCTTAGATGTGGTGATAGGAGGAATCAAACTGAGAACTGGATAGAGTAGGTGAAATATGAAACCCTTAATTTAATTGTGGTAAGCTTACATTTAGAGAGAGATTCTTCAGTTGAAGTTTATTGGGACAATGCAGTTTACTGAGGATTAAAAGTACTTCATTGACAATGCCAAAATTCAGTTCACCTATTTGTTTGGTTTTTTAAATTATATTATTTTAGTTACACTATCCCTGTTTAAGCAGTAGTTGATAATATTTTTGTGTTTTCAAGACAGTGGATCTTTTGATCATGGTTGTAGATATCTTGGGTGTACAACAAACATTGCCACCTTTGCAGCCTGTGTTTTGTGGAGTCCAGCTTGGTTCTCTGTAGCTGCCATATATGGTACCTTGAACTATTCTGTCTAGGATACTTCTGTGAGTTTCTGGATGCAAATTCATAGTGGATGCTGAAATATCTCTGATACCAAAAGCTGGTGGAGGCAGTTTCTGTTCTGGAACAAGGTATGAGGGTACAGGGAGCTGCGGGAGGTTGGCTCAGAGGGGCAATTGCTGCTTGTGGATAGACTGGGCATTGGTCAGTGAGTGGTGAACATCAGTGGTTATGCATCACTTGACTCACTTGTGCATTACTTAATTTCTTTTTGTCTTCTTTTTCATCAACATCATTCATTTATATTTGACTTTATTTCCGTTATTAAGCTGTTCTAGTCTCAACCCATGGGTTTTACCTTTTCACAGATTCTCTTTCCCTGTTCCACAGGGTTTCAGGAGTGGAGTGAGCAAACGCCTGTGTGGTACTTAGTTACTAGCTGGAGTTAAACCACAATAGCCCTTTTATGATCACCTATTGTGTGGCTTGACAGGTTGAGAAAACAACAAATGTGACCAGAACATGCTAGAACAAAATTGCTTTATGCATTTGTTATATGAGCTTAATAGTTGTTGGGCACAGTGTTGATTTTATGCTCTCAACTCTCAAGCAATTGTTCTGCTTGTTCTCAGAGCTCCATTGTTTCTCTCCTTACTTCCAGCATGTGCTCTGTGTTGTCCTGTTTTTCACCTGTGGAAACTGCTCTAAGGTGGTTGTGTTGTGTTGTGATAACCATAAGCGTAAGTCCATAAGCAATCTGGTCTAGTGGAAGATATTCCTGCCTACAGCAGGGGGCTTGGAACTAGATAATCTCTAAGATTTCTTCTAACCCAGGGCATTTGATAGTTCTGTGAGCACTGGCATATGATACAACAGAATTGTTGGTTGTGAAAGAAATCTGTTACTTGTACTTGGCTCTGTCATCTTTGTACTTCGTGAGTGATCTATTGTAAACCATTAATAACTACACCTTTTACCTTTCATCCTTTGAGAGTTAATCTGTGGAGGAGACATGATCCTACATCTTCCCCTTCTCTGCCAGGCTAATGACAGTAGCTTTTGAAAATTTTGAATATCCTTGGGATGTTGAAACAAGCATGGCCCTGTTGCCAGGAATCATGATTGTGGGCCAGGTCTTGTTTAGGGTTAGACAACTATTTGCAACTGCTTAAACCTTGTGACAGGCAGTGTGGCTAATCAGACCTTGGTGGCAGGAGCTCAGACCCTTGTGATGGGTGATGCAGCTGACCCAGAGCACCAAGCCCTGCCAGAATCAGTCACCCCTCCTCACCAGAAGAAATGCATACAAGAGAGCTTGTTTAGCAAAGGAGAACAAAGCAGCACCATCACAAGAGCAGGAGGAAGAGGTGGAACAAGAGGGAACCACTCAATCCCTATCCCTGAGAGAACTGTGGGATATGCAAAAAGATTTCAGCTATCACCCAGGTGAGCAGGTGATCACCTGACTGCTTGGATGCTGGGGAACAGGGCTAGGAGCCTGGAATTAGAGGCTAGGGAGACCAAGCAGCTGGGATCACCTTCTAAGGAAGGGGGCATTGACAAAGTGATTGGCAAAGGTCCTCAGCCTTTGGGAGGTGACTCCTCTAGAGTGTGAAGAAAGATGTCCCTTCAAAGAAAATGTTCCATGTTACCCGGGGCCACCACAGAGGTATCCAGTACCTTTGTTATGTCCCAGACAGTGCTCAGTCACCCACAGACTCAGATGAATTCCAGTGCATATGACCCTTGTGGCAGAAATTTGTCCAGAGCATGCAATTTTCATATGCTGGGTTTACAGAGTGTATGGATCCTGTGGCCTGGCACATCAGGCCACAGGATCCATACACATCAGGCTCTAGTGCACAGGGTACCCCAGTGCTATCCAGCTCTTCAGGGGCAGAACCTATTTCTGTTTCTGGAGAGAGAGGGGAACCCAACAGCTGACTAAACCAGAGGCTGAAGTGATCCTGACCCAGATTGTGTGGCAAAAGCACCCTCTGTGTCTGTTCTTGAGGTTCTGTGCATCCCTGGCACAGATTGTCTTAGGAGAGGGTATTTCAAGGACCCAAAAGAGGGTGTTCAGTACCACTGCCTTGGAGGCAGAGGAAGCTAAGCAGCTGCCTGCCTTGCCTGTTCCCTCAGAGGACACTTCTCTTGGGCTTGCTGAAGGTCAGAGAACAGGTGCTGGTTGCTACCATCGTGTTGCTACCATCGTGTTGCACCAGCAGCAGCATTGCACCAGCCAAGACTCCATGATTCCCATCCACAAGCTGATTTATCAACTGGAGAATCAAGCAGTGACCAGCAGGACCATATGGCCAATGTGAACCACTATGAGAACCATAGTGAGCTATGGTGGCCTGAATGAAGTCACACTGTGTGGCTGAGTGCTGCTATATTGGACATGCTGGAGCTCCAATTTGAGCTGCAGTCAAAAACTGCCAAGTGGTTTGCCACAAATGACATTGCTAATGTGTTCCAGTACCTTTGACAGGCCCCAATTTACTTTTACTTAAAGGAATGTTCAGTAGACCTGGAATCCAGTGCCCCAGGGGTGGAAACACAGCACTGCCAATTCTATGGACTGATACAGGTTGCATTGGAACAGGGTGAAGGTCTGGAACACCTGCAGCACGTTGATATCGTCATGTGGGACCATACAGCAGCAGAAGTTTTTGAGAAAGGGAAGAAAATAGTCCAAATTATTCCGAAAACTTATTTTACCATAAAACATAGTAAGGTCAAGGGACCTACATGGGATATTGAGTTTTTAGAAATAAAATGGCAAGATGGATGTTGTCAGATGCCAATGGATGTGACCACAAAACATCGGCAACGTCTCCACCAACTTTCTTAGGTGGTGTGGGTTTTTGGAGAATGCACATATTCCAGATTGATGTCTAATTGAAAACCCTCTCTATGAAATGACCTGGAAGAAGAATGATTTCAAATGAGGCTCTGAGCAACAACAAGCTTTTTAACAAATTAAATGAGACATAGTTCATGCAACACACCTAGGCCAGTCTGGGCAGAGCAAGATGTAAAAATGGGCTCTGTACTGCAGCTGGGGCAAATGGCCCTACCTACAGCGTCTGGCAGAAAGCACCAGCAGAGACTCCAGTCCATCTCCAGCCCTCTCTTATGGAACTGGGGAGACAGAGTATCTGATGCCTCCTATATTCCTGCTGAAAGAGATATTGGAGTCTAATCAAGGAGCTGCTTTGAAAGGGATTAGTCCTGAAGCATAGCTCCCCAGTGACTGCCAGTGCTGGGCTGGATGTTCAAAGGAGGGTCTTCTCTACACATCCTGCAGCTGGTGCTACATGAAATAAGTGGGTTGCAGTGACCATATAATGAGCTCAGTTAACCAAGAATCTTGAAAATTATCATGGACTGTCTAAAATACAAAGATTTCAGAATGTCACCAGAGGAGGAGATAACACATGCTGAAGGGGCCCCATTGTATAATAAGCTACCAGAAAATCAGATGCAGTATACCTAGTTTAATGATGGGTCCTGCTGTCTTATAGGAAAGCAGATGGAAGAGCATCATGCCCAGTACATAAACTGGTGAGAGTTGGGTGGAAGGGGCTGATCTCTACTCAGGGACTTGCAGTTTATTTTATTTCTGTTTTGAAGCTGTTCTTATCCCACAAGTTTTAGCTTTTTCTGGTTTTTCTCATCCATCCCACGGAGTGGTTGGGGAGGGAGAAGTGAGTGAGTAACTGTGTGGTACTTAGTTGCAATCTGGGATTAAACTGTGACACTTCTGCATTTGAATGTATACAATTCTGGGAGTGGGGTTTGTGGATTTTTTGATTTCTGCTTATATTACAAGGGTAAAACTATTGGAATAGAAAGCTGTGGCTAGAAATATTTTTTCCACATAAGTTTAGAATGTAATAGGAGTCATAGGAATTTTATGTTTTGACATGGAGGAAACTGGTGCTTAGCTTTTCAACAGGGGTGTTGTGTAGGTGGTCGATCAGACTTACTGTGTCTGTGGAACATGGCAATTATAACAACTTTTGCTTCAATAAAATTTTAAGAGTAATATTAGTTATAATCAATATGTCTTTTTTATTTCAGGAGGCTGAATATGGTGGGCATGATCAGATTGATTTATATGATGATGTAATTTCTCCATCTGCAAATAATGGAGATGCTCCAGAGGATCGTGATTACATGGATTCTCTTCCACCATCTGTTGGGGATGATGTAGGTAAAGGAGCTGCACCAAATGTTGTCTATACATATACTGGAAAGAGAATTGCCTTGTACATTGGAAATCTCACTTGGGTAAGTATCTTACTGCTGTTTAGTTGTACATGGGAATTTTAATTATGGATGTAACTACTTGTAAAATTGTTTTGCTTTAAAATGTTTTATATGAAATATTGAGTATCAAAACCCAGTTGTTTTTGTTGTTGGTTTGATTTTCTTTCATTTTCATTTGTGGTTGTGGGGTCATTTTTCCTTTTACCTGAAATTCAGAGAGCCTGTCTGGAGCTGTCGTGATGTCATAAAAATCAAGAAAGTCTTCAGAAAAATATAAACTTAAGAGTTTCTGTCATGTTTTAAGTGTTATGAAAGGATGTTTGTGCTACTATGTTCTTAAGGTTTTCAGAGAATCAAATGAAAGAAGAGAACAAGTTTAAACTGTTAAATACTTCATGCTTGTAAATACTTCAAGGTTTCCAAACAAACCAAATTTTTAGTAAACTCTTGCTGAAAGTTTTAGTTTAAGGTTCTCTGGGATTTTCTTGAAATTACTTTTCACATTTTTCCAGGGCCTTTTCCATCGGCAGTGACTCTTTCAGCATAACTGTTTTCAGGTATTTGTCTTGAGGCTTATTTCTCCGTCCAAGAAGAACAGGTTTATGATAACTCACTGAACTCCAGTCACCCTTAGGATAATTGCTTTTATTAGAATTAAAATATTTTAAAATCAGTTGCAGTTAAGGAAACACTGCAAGAGCTAGTCAGTAGCTTAATTAAGTGGAGCTTTTATATGTTTACATGAAATCAAGTGCTTCAGGGCCCACATACGCAAAATTCTATTTTAGAAGATAAATTAAATTTTTTTTTTCATTTCTGATTATTACTTACTGTAGGTGTTTTTTTCATTAGCTATTACAGTACTTCAGGAGCTAATAGGTAAGTAAAGGACCTGACTGTTGACTTAAGTTGTCCTGTTTTGAAGTACATGACATGAAATCAGTACAATGTGCGTGAATTATCTGAACGAATTGTAAAATAAAAATTACTATTCCAAAAGTCAGACTAGATTGACAGCCTGAGTAAAATACTCCTCTGGATCAATTTCATACAAACACACTCAAAAAATCCATGGAAAATTTAGTTGCCCTTTGCCTAGTGTTTTAGATAAGCTCTCATTGTTGAATATTAAAAATATTTTTCAGTGGACAACAGATGAAGACTTAACTGAAGCAGTTCATTCACTGGGGGTAAATGACATTTTGGAGATAAAATTTTTTGAAAATCGTGCTAATGGCCAGTCTAAGGGGTAAGAACTTGTCATTTGTTTTTTTCTATATGTGGACTGAAGTTTGGGAGGAGAAGCAGTTCTCAGTTTTCATAATTGTCAGTCTTTGAACTGCTCAGCTTATTGATCCAGAAATGATTTCACATATGATTTCATACTAATGACTTAAGTTTCAGGCATAAATTTTTGTAATAGTATTGTGTGCCTCATTATTTTGGGAGTTAAAGCTCGTTGGTGATCTTCAATAAGACTTCCTATATTTTTATATTTGTAGTATGGTGGTGATGCTTGTTTTTAGTCAGTGTAAATGCTGTTTCCCCAACCTTCATTATTATGTCTTTCTTTACATCTTTATTTTCTATTAGCTGTTTAAAGTAAGTGCTTGAACCCATTTTTCACTGACAACCTAAATTTCACTGCATGAATGTGCCTTTCTGTCTCTTTGGCAGCAATGAGCACAGTGTATGAGTATATGCTTAATAACTTCATCATATTAATTCATTATGTAGTCTGTTGATACTCCACCAAAAAGCTGCCTTTGTTGGGATAAACTTTGATGCATCCTGTACTTGCTGTTTTGATTCCTTCTTTTATGTCCTAGGATAAGTTATTTTACCTGTTCTGAAAGCTGGACTAAGACCTGTGAGATATTGTCTGTGTCTAGTTGTCAAGTATTCCTTTGCTTACTGTGTGTAATCTTTTTCATGAGACGTCAGGATGTCAGAAAATGAACAAATTGTGGTGTAATTGTTTTTGTTTCCTTTCAGGTTTGCCCTTGTGGGTGTGGGATCAGAAGCATCCTCCAAAAAGCTGATGGATTTGTTGCCTAAAAGAGAATTGCATGGGCAGAATCCTGTTGTAACTCCGTGTAATAAACAGTTTCTGAGTCAGTTTGAAATGCAGTCAAGGAAAAGTAAGCTTTTCTTAAGTGCTGTCTTGGAAAAGCAGAAGAAGTAGAATGGCAGGTTCTTAGCTCAGCGTCTTATAATTTCTGCACAGTTTAAAATAACCATAAAATACTTAGAGTCCAGGTGAATGAAGTTGTATCTTTATTTAAAGAAATCACTTCATACACTGAAGAGCTGCTGCATTTTGAGAGAAGGTTGCAGCTTTGTGCAGCTCTTGTCTTAACAGCTGTGGATGATTTCTCAATTTCCTGTGGATGTAATTAAAAAAAAAAAAAAAGCACAAGAGCATTTAGAAATTTAACATTTGTAAGCAAACTGGACTAAATTATAATGAGTGGATGGTCTGTATTTATAGTAGAATGGGGAAGAGAGGTTCCATGTTGTACTTTAGCACCATGTCTTGTGTTTCCCAGTGTGGTGTTGGGCTTCATTGAAGGAGACTGGCAGTCTCTCCAGATCCTCTTCCTTTAGTATGAGGCATAGTATTTTAGCAATGAATGGTTTCCTTCCCAAATGCATTGGGTTTGGGTACAGGGAGCAAGTTGGTGCTCGTAAGGTCACACTTCAGCACTGCATAAAACTTTAGGTCAAGTGTTGAAATATTTCAACCTATTTTGATTTATGTAATGACATTATTGCTTTGTTATTGCAGCCACACAGTCTGGCCAGATGTCTGGGGAAGGTAAAGCTGGTCCCCCAGGAGGAAGCTCACGAGCAGCATTTCCACCTAGTAATAGAGGTCGGGGCCGTTTTCCAGGTGCCATTCCAGGTGGAGATAGATTCCCTGGACCGGCAGGGCCAGGAGGGCCACCACCGCCTTTCCCAGGTAAAATTATGCATATGTGGAGTTCCAGTCTTATATGTGTTTCAATGTGTCTTACTTATTTGGGAAATGATAAAGGTCAAGGAAATTCAGTAATGAGCTATAATCGGTGGTCACACATAGATTATAGGACTTGACTGTTCCTTTGTTGATATTCAACAGGAAGTTGGACCTAGTAAATTTGGTAGCAAGGCAAGAGTTTTTTTACATACATTATTTATACAGTGTCAATATACATATTTAAGTATGAAAAAAAATTAAAATAGATCATGTTAGCAAATAGATTTGGCTTTAGGGTAGTGCTGTTGAGATTTCTGATTTGCTGTATGTGCTGAGAATTGCCTGTGCTGCATAGTGTAAAGTAACTAATTTCCTTATTGTAGTACAAGTTTATTCATGCCCACTGACTGGTCAGTTAGTAGGCACTTAAAACACCAGAAATTTGAAGAGGAGGTCTTAATGTTTAGTTAAATATCTGATATAGAAGAAATATCTTAAGCAATTAGGTTTGCACTGCACTGAAGTTCTTTTTTCAGCTGACATATTTTTTAGTAAATATCATTCAGAAATAGATTGTCTACCAACAGTCCGAGGGGCATAGTCAAATAAAAAAAACCAGATGAGAATCTAAAGTAAGGCTTGGATACTGCATTTACATTACTTTCTCCAATACACCTTGTCTAATATTTTTAATATATATTTTATCTTAAGCCCCACATGAAAGACTAGCTGCAATAAGATGTAACGTCTTCTAGCTTTTGTAATTTGCAGATTTTGGAAACAGCAGGTGATTAAGTGATTTGAGGAGCAGAGTTGTCAGTGTTTAAGATAATGTTGTTCTGTTTAGATCTCTCTAGATATCTAGTATCAATAGATACAGATAAGTTAAACACTTTTTAGGCTACTGGACCCAAAACAGGAACATTCATGTCTTGTACATGTTGCAGTGTTCAGGGAGGGAGGGTTGGTTTCTTTTTTGTCACTGTTTTTTAGAATAAAAAACCTGAAGAATTTTAAATTTTATTTCTTTGTATTTATTCACTCAATTTTTTTTTTTTTCTGTTTGTTTGTTTATATTTTAGCTGGACAAACTCCCCCACGTCCTCCCTTAGGTCCTCCTGGCCCACCAGGCCCACCAGGCCCTCCACCTCCTGGTCAGGTCCTCCCACCTCCATTAGCTGGACCTCCTAATCGTGGTGATCGTCCACCACCACCAGTTCTGTTTCCAGGACAGCCTTTTGGTCAGCCTCCACTTGGGCCACTTCCTCCAGGCCCTCCACCACCAGTTCCAGGCTATGGGCCACCACCAGGTCCACCACCACCTCAGCAGGGTCCACCTCCACCTCCGGGTCCATTTCCCCCTCGTCCACCTGGTCCTCTTGGGCCACCCCTGACTCTTGCTCCTCCTCCACATCTCCCTGGGCCACCGCCAGGTGCTCCACCACCGGCACCACATGTGAATCCAGCTTTCTTCCCCCCACCTGCCAATAGTGGCATACCCACTTCAGACAGTCGTGGGCCACCTCCGACAGATCCATATGGCCGACCTCCACCATATGACAGAGGTGACTATGGGCCACCTGGAAGGTGAGTTCTTTTTGTCTAATGTGTTTGGGTAGTAGATTTTACTCCTCTTATTGGAAACATTTGATTTTTTTTCCATTTTAATGCAAATGTTAGGAGTAATTAGAAGTAGGGCCAGAAGGGATCCCACTGATCTTGTAGTTTCCCCCTTTTAACTTCTCCAAGGGATTAAATCTGAGAAACATATTTGCAGCAGGAGGAAAATCCTGAAATGCAACACCGGTAATCTCACTTCACTTTTCAGCTCTGAACTGTTTGTCTTCACTGTATTTGGTAGTGTCATCATTCCATGTGTTCTACATGTAAACTTATATATAATTTCTTATGCAGCAACTTCTGGTTGTGCTTCTGTCTTAACTTGAAGTTCTGACTTTTACCTGTATCATGGTGCTTTGCAGGCTGCCTTTTAAGAATGCTCTGAAGTTTTCTTTTTTGAATATGTGTCAATGTTGAGGTCATACCAAGTTCATACCATTTTCATCTTTCAGCAGTGTTGCTTGTCCCTTTTTTTCTTTAGGATTTAATTAAAATTTAGTGTTTGTCTTAAAAGCCAGGGGTGAATTTACTGCAAGACTTTAACCTTCCTTTCCTATCAAGATGTTTCTGCTCATTTGGTGCAATCTTAACTGTGTTTGTAGCAGTGGCTTTTCCTGTGGTTAATCCTATCTGTGACAGAGTTCTTAAGTCCCTGACTTGACTTGTCAAGTTTTTCACATCTTGTTTGAAACATCTTTTTCATCTGTGATTTCAAGCATCCCTGTCTTGCTGCTATTTCTTGATTTTCACCATATTTGTATTTGTCAAAAATTTTGGCATAAATTGTAAGAGATTATTTTACATAGTTAGATGTGAATTTTTCAGTAGTAATTTTCCTGCTAGCATGAGACACACTTTTCTGGCTTAAAATGTTTCCTGCAAAGATACTGTGCTTTGATTCTTTCTTTACCACAATGTTTAACCCCCCCCCCCCCCCCCCCCATTTGTACATGTGATGTTCATACCAAAAAAACTATAGAAATTCAAGCATTTGGCTTAATTGCCTGAAATATAAGACTATAAGGTGTTGGGTGTTTTTTGATGAACTAAATCAAGGTTGTCTGCAGTTTATAGAATGTCTGGGGAGGGAAGGAGTGGGAATAGGACAGTATAAATTACTGTCCAGTATTTTCATTTAATAATGTTGAAGTTATCATCCATAACTATTTAAATTGTCATTAATTATATATCATAGGCGTTTCACTGGAAATAACATGTCCATAAGAGAAAAATTACATATTCCATTCTATGGGAGGCACACGAAAAATAATACTCAAAACTCAGGGAGGTATGAATTTTTAGACATTTCCTCTTATGCTAAACTGGCTATAGGATCTTGTTCCACTTCTTGCAATTAAGAGGATAGCATTGCTTATTATTCTGCATTTTCTTTCTACCAGAAGAACTAACACTGTTCTAGAAATATCAAGCAGTGGGCCAGTTTGACAGTCTCATCATTTATCTCTTAACACATTTCTCCAAATTTTCTATGTGACACAGAGACTGGCTAATAGGACACTGCAAAACTTTTGGGAAAATTTAGGTTTACTTCTGTTACTTTGCAAACCCTGTATAGGTAGCTGATAATTGAAGTGCAATGAGTACGAGGATTTTGCTTTATTGTTTCCTCCTTACTATGACTAGTAGGGAGATCAAATTGGAGTACCTTGAACTTGACCAGAAATTAATTTTAAAAAAAAATTGCTGTAAAATGCTGACATATAATTCAGAAAATTGAGTGTTTTAAAGATGGTAACTATATTTGTTTTTCAAAAGTTACAGCATTCTGGTCTTAGTTAAGATCTGGGAAACAGGATCATATAGTTCTGATTCCAGTATTGTTATGAAAATTTTCTCTAATTTTGCTCAAAGCTGCATTGCCTATGTACATGTATTTCCACATCCATTTAGTTGGGAATATCTATTTACGTACCTTCGAGGATTTTATGAAAATTGTAAATATTTGTCAAGCACAATATTAAGTGCTGCTGAATATTTGAAATAGATGGGATAAACAGAAAAAAAAGTCTATTTATACAGCAGTGTCTTAATTGTTTCTTTGGGGTTTTTTGTTTGGTTGGTTTGTTGGGGTTTTTCTGTTTGTTTTTTTTAAGCTTTCAGGATTTTATACTGTAACGATGGTCCTTAACAAAAACCAAACCCAGATCCTGCTTTCTTTTCTGTTTGTCATTGCTTAAAGTTGCAAACTTGGATTGTTGAAATTGCAATGCTAGGTTCTGAAGTTCTCCTTAACCTTTTAAATACTAGTTTTATTGCTTGCAGAGAAATGGATGCTGCGAGGACACCTCTGAGTGAAGCAGAATTTGAAGAAATCATGAATAGAAATAGGGCAATCTCAAGCAGTGCCATTTCAAGAGCTGTATCAGATGCCAGTGCTGGTTAGTAAAACTTAAGTAATGTGTTTGTTTTTCTACACAGCTGAAAAGAATTTGCAGGTTTTTTTTTTAAATTGGGAATCTGAAAAACCTGAAGACACATTTTCCTGATGTGAATTTAGATACAACTTACAAGTGATTTTGTACTGTTCTTCGGTTAGTTTCTAAGAAAACTTTCTCAGTACTGATTGGGACAGTATTTTAATAGTGCTGCAGTAAATTATCTAGATGGCTGTTTAAGAGAAGATACTCAAAATGGCAATACTGTTACAGATAAAAATCTGTCTTTTAATTTGCATGATTTTCTGATCCTGATCCTGCATCATTTTCAGGGGACTATGGAAGTGCTATAGAGACCTTGGTAACTGCAATTTCCTTAATCAAACAGTCCAAAGTATCTGCAGATGATCGCTGCAAAGTACTTATTAGTTCTCTGCAGGACTGCCTTCATGGAATTGAGTCCAAGTCTTATGGTTCTGGATCCAGGTAAAACATTCCTCTTCCATCTGCTCTTACTTTAAAAAAGAGAAGGTATGGTGCAGGACTAATTCACAGAGAAGAAACTAAGGCTTGTAAGAAGCCAGTGATTTGCTGAGTTGCACATGAAATATGTGAAGGAACCAAATAAGGCTTTCCTGTGAAGGAACCAAATAAGGCTTTCCTGAACCTAGGAAAGCTGCCTTTTAATTAACCCTCTTTTCAAAATTGATCTGATTAGCTTCAGTTTAACTTTTAGTTTTGAGTGGTTTTGGCCCATATTTTCCATATGCAGATTAGCAGCCATGTTGTAGTAATCATTTGATATGTGTTGCATTTCCCCCAGCGGATTTCAGTCATTCTCCATTCTGAGTACATACTTTGACTTTTCCTTGCTACATTAGAAAGTGGGTGCCCCTTTATTACTTGTAACTGTGTTCTTAGCCACCACTGTTTGTACCAGATATCTTTAATGTTACATACAAAAATATACCTGCATTTTGATCAAATTCATACTCATAAGCAGAATACAAAACTGGCATGGGGATGACAAGTATTTTGAAGAAAAAGTTAATGAAGTAATTTCTTTTAGAAGACGTGAGCGATCCAGAGAGAGGGACCACAGTAGGTCACGAGAAAAAAGTAGGCGCCACAAATCGCGTAGTAGAGATCGTCATGATGACTATTACCGGGAAAGAAGCCGTGAGAGAGAGAGACATCGCGATCGTGACAGAGATCGTGACAGAGAACGAGACAGAGAGAGAGAATATCGTCACCGTTAAAGAAGGTGAGCATTTCTTTCATGTTCTTGAACTGTATTGGCTTACTAAAAGTAACTTCTCTAGGTTTGAGATTATTTGTTTCATTCGTGTCTGTATTTAAATGATCCTGCAGTATGTACTGAATCACCTTCTTCTTGCAGCACCTGATATGAACACAGGTAAGTAATAACAGGTAATTAACTCATCTTGGGAAGGAGCAAGTACTTGTGCAATTATCTTCTACATTCTGCATGCCACTTCTCTTATTGTGGCTGATAATAGTGTTTCCAGTTTTTATGAAATGTGATTGAACCACTTCTTAAAAAGGCAATAAGTCAGACTGTTCTCTTTGTAATCTTAAAATATTATGTGAATTTTAGTTTTATTTCTTAATTGTATTTTAAAATACTAATTTTCAATTTGTGATTATACTTCTGTAAAGACTGTATCATTTAGCCCTTCATAGTTTGTGTGTGGATTATTTCAAGTCCATACAGTTATTGTCATTGCACAGGTATGGTGGTGATTTTGTGGGTTTTGTTGTTTTGTTTCATGTTGCTTTTGTTTGATTTTTTTTCCTGGTGAGTTTTAGTCAAATTCAGGAAATATAACCAGATTTTGCTCTTTATTTTATGAAATGTGATCTGTCAGTATCTTCTGCCTTCTAGCTAAATCCAGGTATTAACCTTCAGTAAAATTTATTATCAGTTGCTGCCACCACCCTGATTTTTCAGTCCATCCCCCTTCTGGTAGTAGAGTCATTTTCTGAAGACCAGTAAACCAATGTGTGACAATAGAATTGGTTCTTTTCTGGTTGTTCACAAACTAACGTGCACTTTTATGCACTTTCATGTGTCTGAAGTCTTGTATGCATCAAATGTCTAGACAGCTAGAGTAGCATGCTAAACAATGATTCTTTTCAATGTACTGCTTTAAAATACATAGAAATGATGGCATTATGTAATGTACCATTTTTAGGGTTTGGGATTAAAGCCACCCATGATGCCTTATATTTGACAATTGAAAAAAAAAACAACCCTACCTACACTAGAGAGTAGTGACTCTCTAGTGGTCTTTTCTTTTTTTGAAAGAACTACATCTACACTGAAATTGAAGCTTGTAGACATGCCTGTCTGCCCAACTTCCATTTCTTACATTTAACCTCAGATTTAGTTTTGAGATTTACATGTGTTTTTTGTTCATGGGAGTTCATTTATAGATGTTACAAAGCAAAGTTTATAGACGTCATATAAAATGTAGTATAGTCCTAAGTGAAAATACAGTTCTGTATGTGTTATATGTCAGATTTTCAGTCAGGTTTTTGTGTCACTGACACTCCTCTGGGAGAGAACAAATTATGATAGTAAATGCTCTAGTGTGTTGAGAATTAAGTGGGATGTTGTCTCAGATTCATATACCAGCAGGGGACACAAAAAGAAATAAGAGCTAGAGAAGGGGAGTCAAAGGCTTAAATAGAAAGGTGAAATATGGCAGCTGAAATAAAGTTGGCAGTATATTTCTGTTAATGCCACTTTCTGCCATTAAAAATGGATTGGTAGAAATATTTCTGGAATTTTGTAAAAATATCAACTCTGGTTTTTAATTGTAAAATAAGAACGTAAAAATACAGATATAACAAAATAAATGTAATTTCTTTTGTTGAACTGGGTTTTTACCTTTTATAATAGCTGCATATTTTTGATATTTGCAAATAGTTGTTACTAATAGAGGTAACCATTGAGCTGAATAATGGATGCATTTCCAGAGTGTTTTCCTTCTGGTGGAGATGAGCAAACCATACTAAAAATTGTTAATAGTGTGGAATGAAAGATAATTTTTTTAACCCTTGGCATAGTTTACTAATCTAGCTTTAGTTTGTGTATTTAGTGTTGTGCACGTAGATACATATTTACTGTGACAAGTACAGATTTCCTACTCTCTTACCCCAAGAATATATATCAAGCAGCATTAGGTTGCATTTTATAATTTCTGAAGCACAATTTACACTGAGGCTATTTCAGTCTCAGTTCAGGTGGGATTTATATTTGTAAGATCCTTCAGCTTTGTTGTGTGCTGGGATTTCTTTTTTCTTTCAAAAGGGGGACTTGGGCAAAAAGATTCCCTTGTGCAAAGAAAATAGGTCCATAGAACTTGATTTAAATGGCAAATTAAGTGTACTATATGTAAATTAGAACATTTGGTATTTTTTTAAGTTGTAAACAGTTTGTCTTGTTGCTGTCTTAATGAAGAAGGGATATATTGTAGTTTTGTTTTTATATATTTATACACACACACATACATATAAAAGAAATACAGTTATCTCCTGGTTTGTATGTTTCATTTTCACTAAGATATATGTTCCCATACATTTTTGTTTCATTTTTTACATTGAATAATATTCATAAACTGATTTAACACTCAGTCATTTAATAAATATCAACAGTGCTGAAACGAGTTATTCCCCATATTACTGTGTTTTGCCAGAAAACATGAAGTTGCCTCTGTGCCTGTACCCTATGAATGGCACCTATATTTCTCCTTATTGTGTACCTATAGTCATGACTGTGATACTGTACTGGCATTTTTTCCAAAGTGTTACACGTCTAGTTCAGAAGGATTCTAAGGGTCCATTGTGAAAACTTTTGTGAACAGTGAAATTCGGTTTGTTCTGTATAACATTTATAGAGATGGGTTAAATTGGAATAACATATGAAATATGTTTATAAAAGTAAAACTCTAAAAAGTTTAGTTGTACCATATCAAGTAATTTACACTTCTGTTTGTACACTTCATGATTTAAAATCAAATTGTTGCAAGATTTTTGTGCCTCCACTTGAGTAAGACTTCTGTACATTAACAACCCATTACTATAAACTGAATGCTTCCTTGGAATATCTTGCCTTTACTCATAGAAAGCCTGTAAATATAAAAGGTAACAATGGATTTAAGACGAATGTCTAACCTGTGTTAGTCAAAAAACTGAGAACCCAATAGATAGACATTTAGAAAAATTAACGGCAAAATTAACGTGTACAAACAGAATAGTAACGTAACTTCATGAGCATGAGTCCTGACGTGTTAGGCAAAAATTTTTTTAACTGATAATAATGTATTTCTAGCTGATACATCGTCCCAATCTTAATCTGTCTGAATTTCTATAACTGCTGAATGTTAAGTTTTTCATTTTATGTTTTTGTTACTGGGTTGATTGATTATTTCCTATTTAAACTGGATTTGGATTGAACTGCAAAGACAAAACCACAACATTGTAACAGTTGATATGTATGTAGACTTTGTACTCCATATTTCATGTTTATTCTCTGATTTTTCTGCTCTCAAACCACTGTAAGCAAAATAATTTGAAGTTCAAGGCTCATATGCTTCATCAAAAACTGCTTCAGATCACTCTGAAATTACTTTCAGCTTTAGAGTGATTCAAGATTAACATGGTTGAAATTTTTTGTGTCAGTAGGAGGGGAAATTGTACTGACAGTTTACATAATATTCATTCTATTTTTGCTTCTCTAAGTTGGAATGGTCTTGTAACTGTGCTAATAACCACCTAAACATCAAGTGAAGTATGAAATTAGCCTTTTAAGAAAACTTGTAATGAATTGGCAAATGTTTGCTTTTAATAGGCTATTTTAATAATAAGCTTCTAGCTAATATTAAGTGAATCATGTGGTAACATTGTTCAAGACCTGGGTATATATACCTTTCTAGAATTATAACAGGTCTTAGTCTTAAGATGTTATTAATATTGTTTACCTAAACTCTTCTTTTTTAACTGTGTGTTTTATGTGAGGCTGGCACAATTCTGTATTTAGCATTCACCAGAGAAATAATGCTTTGTGCATCTGATTCAGTATTTGCAATCCAGCATAGCATGAATAGAGGCAAGCAGTGCCACTGGTTTATATGCTTCATAAAATCTGTTTTACCATTATTCTGGTGTTTTGCAGAAACACAGAGCTTGTTAATGTTCAGTGATGAATCTGATTTTCTTGAGATTGAAACAAGGATTAAAAAATGAACAGAGGATCTTATGCTACTTATTTTCAAATGCATTAACTTTTATTACTTTTTTCCCATTAATATGTTGCTGTAATTTTACTGACTTCTGAGGTGTCTGTAGACACACTTATTTTTTTTGTTCCTCATATCCTGGGGTTTCTTTATTTTGTGAATTCATTAGTTTTGACAAATTTGAAAGGTTCCCCAAGAAATTTTTAGGTATATGAAACACAAAAATGAAATTGTTGATTTGAATCAATGTTCTTCAAAGAATGAAAAAAAATCACCTTTTTACTTTTGCTCATTGTGGTTTGAGAACTAAGATTTCTTTTTACCAAAAAAAAAAAAAAAAAAAGGAGACATATGAGAGATCTTATTTTTATGTTTTCCTGTGGCATCTCGATCGACCATTTTGTCTCTCCCTCATATATTAATGTTAAAAGTACTTGCCAATAATTATTATGTTTTTAATTTGTAAACTAAAGATTGAATTTTCTGAACATGCCTCTCTGTTCATCAGTTAGTTTTGGTGAATAGACAGGCTGGGATAATAGAAGAAAATACCTGACAAATGAGGGTCATTTGTTTAGGAGGATTTTCCCCCATGTAAAATGATTTAAACAATCATGAAATTGTTGTTGTGTGGATCTTAAATTACACACTAAGACTGAACAAAGACAGCAGGTAAGTACACTCGTGGTAGGAGGGGGGAGCAGGCAGCAAATGTGAGAAGGTGCTAGTGCTGGTAAAATACTCTGTATGTGTATAGTGAACAGGACAGAACCACATTTGTATCTCTGCTTACATGCTGAAAGACAAATAGAAAGTCAAGCTTGACATTCCTTCTTTGTCACTATGTTACAGCTAAAGCATCAGAATATTTGGGGTATTTTGTGATGTTCTGGAATGTAGGTTAAATTTAAAATAAATTTTTAGCTTTTAAGCTGATACTTTTTGTGGGATTTTTGGTTTGTATATTTCTTTTTCTTCATGTATAAAATAAAATAAAGGAGAATTACATTAAGTAATTCATAGGAGCGTCTAGGATATAATACCAAATGTATCTTGTGCATTTTGCTGAAATGTGAACATGTGAGATTGAAATTCAATCTCTGAAAATAAACTACTATAATAAACTTGACGGGTATATGTATATACAGCTTTAAAATTACTGTAGAATTTTCAAAATTTTAAAGGCTGTTTAAAGCTTTTATGTGAATATTTGGATAATTGAAATTAAACAGAAAAAATTAGAGCTGCTATTGCAAGATGCTTTTGATATATATATAATAAATCTCTTGGGGTTTTGTTGTAAGAGTGTGTTTTTGTGAGTAAAAAAGTGCTCAAGTTGCATCTTGCATAAATATAAAAATGTTTGATCACTCAAGTTCTGGGATTTCATTTGTGAAATGTTCTGGCATAAACCCCTAACTTTTAAGCCACAAAATTCTATTCAACACCTAAGTCTGAAATTTGGATAGAGTTGGTAAATTTTGGTAGAAATGCTGAGAAACTGTTTGCTGTTTGGTGTTAAATTGTACAAATATAACACGTGCTTGGGACAGATAGCTTATGTATGAGCTTGAGGCAGATGGAAAGATGCCAAGAAATACTGACTAGAGATTTAATTTTTTTAAAAAAATTTTGTTGCTTCAATATTCTACTTGCTTGTAGAATACTGAAAAAGGCTAAAATCACGCAGGTATAATCCATACAGATTTTTCTTTTCCGAGCCACAAGGGTTTTCAGCTTTGCCAAGATATAGTGGCAAAATACTTGGAACTGAATGTACACCACTTTGGATTTTAGTTGGTCATGTTTTTAAAAATGAAGGCTCAGTGTGGTTCTGACCATCTTAAGAGCCCTATACCAAAAAGCATTAATCCTAAATTCACTTCATTGTGCATTCTTTAGAGTTCCTGTAGATCCGTAAGTACCTTTACAGATATAGCAAATTATTCCCAGGAACTGAAGCTTTCTTATGGTAGTATTATAAATCGTATATAGGGTGCTTTGGATCTGTTAATTGTTGCCATAGACATAATAAAGATCCATAATTCTGGCTGCAGCAATTGTATAATGAGAGCAGCAAATTCTGATGTACAGTCTCACAGCTGTCAAGTACTGGCTTTCTTCACTAGAAAACTGAGATTGTCTCCTGTCTGTTTGTGCTAACTTAGTTCACAACTCTGAACATGTTTTTCTTGTAGAGGTAGCACTTTGTCACTTTGCTACTAATTAATTTCAAAAGTGTGTAACACTGGCCTCTGGGAAAGGAGCTTCCCCAGAAGTAGTTGTCGATAAATTCAGGACCTGGGAACAAAATCTGTGAATAAGATAAGAAATTTCACTCTCTGATTTGGATTAGTTTATGTGCACACTATAGTGTATAGGATCTACTTGGTTATACTTAGGAATTTTTTAAAAGTTATTGTTAACAGTCACTTTGAGGAAATGAAGAAGCATTGCATACTTAGTTTTCCCAGCTTTGAAATTATTGTACTAGTAAAAGAATATTTGACAGCTGTGTACTGTTGTACATTCATGAAATTGCTTCTCTAAATGTTTTGGTTTTCAAATGAATAATTTAATGTGTTGGGTTTTTAAAATAATTTGATTGAAACTATTTTGAAATTATTGAATGTTGAAATTGTTAATTATTAATGAAATTAAGATAGCTAATTGTTTTGTAATGGAATTCAGCTGAAATCCAGTGTATGGAATTATACCATCCCAAGTATTTTGTGAACTCTTACAGTAATTAACTTTGAATTGTGTGGTTCCCTGATTTGCCAAAATATGACAAGAGCAGGAAGTAGGGCTTGGGGATTTTTCAAGGGCAAGTAGGTGAGGAAACCTGCAAATCTACATTGTATTCATTGAAAAGTGGGTTCTTGTGCATAACTACAAGTGTGTATTTTTAGATGTGAGCCCCATCCAGCTTGCCACTATTCTTTTGAAGTACTGGTGTCAGATTCTGTGTGCTTTTAAATGTTACTGAGCTGTGAGCCATCCACTTCATTATAGAATCAATTAATTACTTAAATGTCAAACCAGCTTAAAAATTATGTAAGTGGGCAGGTAAAAATGTAAAAATCTAATTGTGGTAAAATTACCTTAAATTCTTGTTCAGTTACTCTTGCAGAATGCATACTTTAGGAAATGTTCTATATAAATTTGGCAGTCACAGAAGCAGTAGTTATTTCTTTCTTTATCATCAATACTTTAACTGTGAAGTTTATATTCTTTCAACTTTGTTGTACAACAACATTAATCTTATTTTTAATTACTTTATTAGAAAACAACTTCAAATAAGTAGCTACTGCTTCTGGGTGTTTTGTGTTAGTTAACATCATGGTGAAATAGATGCACGAGTTGTGTATGTATAGATAAGCCAACAATTTTCTGTGTGTTTTGGGGACTAGCAAAATCTACATCACAAATTTTGACACATTACAGCTGAAGGAAGAGGAACAGCATGCAAGGCAAGATACATTCTTCAAGGAAAGATGCTTGTCCAGCAGTTTGCTTCATGTGATTGAACTGAGCCTGTAAGGATTCATGGATAATATGAACAGGAATAGATCTGAATAAAGCAAATCTGCATACATGGTAACCAGTAGCTCTTTTACTTTTTATGTTGCTTAACTGTTTTATTTGAGGGAAACCTGTGTGATTTAAACCTTATAGCTTTTGCAACTTTATTACTGGTTATATACATTTGGCAATTATAATGTGCAAGCAATTGAAAAAGTCAAGTAAATGCTTGTTTTTATCGTAGTTTGTTCATGTTAAACTGTTCATATAATGTCTGTACACAGCACCACTGATTACAGTAGATGTAGTGTTGTAATAAACTGTTTAATGGGGCTGATGTGTAAAGCTGTTCAAGTTATTTGATGTTTACACCTCAGGGAAAGTCATGTGTTCAGCAATATTTAAAGATAATGTTACAATGAAAACATTGATGCTGTCTTCAAAAACATCGCAATAGTTTTTACATATGCCTCAACCTAATCTTGGATTCAGTGAGTTAAACATACTAATGTTGTGCTCTCCCACTCAATTTTGATACAAAAATAGGTGGTTACGTAAAACCTTTAATTCTGTTTTGCTTTTTAGCAGTGTTTACCTAGGTGGCCTGTGAATTTGCTAATTGACTTATAAAACTGTAAAAACTGCAGCTCTCTGTGGTCAGTTGTTCTGAGGAGAGATAGTCCCAGTTCTGTGATTTCTAGCACAGTGAAAATTTTGTCTCTCATACACCCTTGATCCTGATTGACACTACTGTTAATATAAACTTAGACTGTTTGTGTGAACTTAAACTGCCCATAATAAGCGGTAGAAAGATGAGGTTTAAAACACTAAAAATCCTGCAGTTGTTTACAGTTTTATAGTAATAGTGCTTTTGTGTGTTCCCTGTCCACCCCCCAAGGCCGTAGCAGTCTGTACATAGTTGTATATTAGAAATGTGCCAGAAGAAACAAGATGTTGCCATTTTTATGACTTCATGGGTTTGGTATTTTCTTAATACTTAGGTGTTTATTCACACATGCATATGGAAGAGAAGGTACATTTGTATGTCCTTGTTCACCAGTGGGCAATATTTAAAATGTCTTAGCAAAAAATGGCACTGATTAAATTTGTCAGATGAGGTTTTGTAAATTTACCTAAAAACAAATTAATGGAGCACTCAGTGAACGTAGGGGTCAAATTAAAGATTTTGTTTTAAATTTCATCAAGTATGAAATGCAAGCAAATAGAAATTGCATAAAAGCTGCAAAAGCTTCATTTCCGTCAGCCTTGACAAAGGCTCATTTTTAGTCTATTGTAAAGGGTTATGTAACAGACACACTCTTGGAGTTGTCACTTGTTCAAATAGCTGCACTTAATGTTTTAAGTTAAGTTTCAAGACCTCAGATGGCTTTAAGAGGCAACTCCTAGAAGCCTCTTTATTTCTTTTTTACTAATTTTGAAGATTTTACAGCTGACTTTAAATGTTACCCTGTTCAGGAAAGCATTTAAATGTGTTCGGTTTTCCAGAGCATATAAAGCATGTGCTTACATTTCATAGATTCCAAGAAATGCAAACATATGCTTTAAGTGTCGTATTTGCATACGTGAGTGATTTTTATGCTTTACTGAGTTGGGACCGGTAGCTTGTGCAACTGCAAAAATTTTGCATAAGCCTGAAATACTCTAATATTTTTGGCACCTACTATTCAACCAGGTTTCCTGCAGCCAGGTTAATACTGTTGAACTTGGCTACAGCTTCAGACTCTCCCCTTTTTTTCTTGTGTACCTCTGTTCCTCACACATGGGATCACTGGTGTTTATTGAACTATTTGCTTCTGAGAAGATATTTCAAGTGTTTGTTTAATCCTGTTTTAAAACTGCCTTCAAAAAATTTGTAAAACTGAAAGTTGTATCAAGCAAGTAATGAATCACTTCCTGCTTTTTTTGTGAATAGGTATTGGTTACAAACAGTACTGTTGTAACTTCATTTTCTTTACTTAAAAACATTGTTTACTATTGTGTGTAATAAGTTTAAGGAAGAAATTACCTGCCTGTAGCAGTTAAATGGGGAATAGCTAATACTGAAAAATCAGCAGGTAAGTAATGTTCCATCGCATAGATATATTAAATTTTAGAATACAAAACAGTAATGTTACAAGCATTTTATGTAGGAACTGATATTTTAGTCCACATTGAAATAGATTTGAGATTGTTGCTCTTTTTACATAAGAGTGTCATTTCTCACTCACATATTTCCATTGCTGGCAATGGAAATAGCAGGGAGAGTATAGCAGGGGGTAAATAATGTAAGTTAAACAGAATGACCATTGTGATCTGAGAGATGAGATCCCTGTATGAAGCCCATTATTTCTGCCTGTTCTCCAAATCCTTAGTTTTAACCGATAAATGTGCTGTGTTGCAATTTAGATAATATTCTCTTCTTGTTGTGAGCTTCCTTTGTTAGATTTTTTTAATAAAACAAAAAAATGTACAGAAAAAAAATCCAAAGACCCTGATAAACACCAAAAAGGAATATGCCTAATGTACATCATGTGTAACTGGATCTGTAGTAGAATTTTTGCCAAGTCTTGGTTTACTAAAGGTTCCTGCAATTTCCTGTGCACATGCAGGAAATGGCAGTTTGGAAACTTGCTGACTGGTGGTTAAGCTATGATGGCTACTGCTATTTAATATTCAGTTGTATTTCATTTCCTTTTGCTTATGAAAGGATGAAATAATCTGTGAGGAAATACTTAATTTTTTTTTTTCAAATATTGAGTATATAAATAACATTGAAAATATTATCTTAAGGCTATGTCCTTTATCTTGAAAGACAAAACTAACAAGTAGTGACTTAGGGGTGGTGGTGCTTTACCAACAGAGCTTGTTTTGGTGGTTTGTTTTTTAGAAGTAGAGGGTGTTTTTTTTAAAGTAAAATTTTTACAGGACTATACATTTTGACAGGTCAAAGTACTTAAGAAGAAGAACATAGCATTTTGGAAACTGTACAGTCTTGCTTCCTCATTCCTTTTTTGCTTTCTGTGCCAATATTTTTTGTTCTGATGACATTTTGGAAAATGTTTGTCAGAACTTCAGATTTTTATTTACAGTGTGGCTTATAAGCTTGGATAGCTAGTTTTTTTGTGTTAAACAAGATATTTTTATTAAATTTAGACATTAGCTTTTTTCTTTATGGACTGCGTTCTTTCTGGTTTTGTTCCTTTGAAATTGGTGAGGCTTAGTTTTTCTATCTGTATTTTTTTACCTGATTGTTTAGTAGCATACCCAAACCCTGGTAAATGTTTTTTTCCTAGTTGTATGTGGACAATTGGAGATTTAAATGTTGTATATACTTGTCATCTGTGTTTCTAGTAAAATACATGGCATTCTTTGTAGAAATACTTAATTCCTGATTTTCTTTCTTATCCACTTGCTCTTTGTGTACAGGTTAAACAGACATTGCTCCTGTTTTTATTTATAGAATTTTATACATAGCCTGTTAAAATTGTCTTTGGTTCTTGTGTGAACTGAGATACAGCCTTAAATTTCCTAATACAATGCTCATTAAGATACTGTCAGTAATGTAGAATTAAATATAAAACATGCACGTTTAGGACGGGTACTTTTCAGAGATCTGAGACACTAAATTGCTTCTGCATTGAAATATAAGCCCTTCAAAATTTTAGAGAAGGAAAGTGCAGGTCAGTGTCCATATAAAAATACGAATTAATTTGAATTCCTTCCAAAATAAGAATTGTAATATAGAAAAGAAGCAATGTGGATTCAGTTGAGATGCAATTTATTTTGGTAATTGACTGCACAGGTCTTGAAATAATGATTGCAGCATGCTGATGAATCATGATGATTATGCAGAAATACTGTCTCTTGCAATTATGATGCCTTGCAATTAATACTTCGGACTATCTTGGGGTGGATGGGGGTGTTGAGTTGGGGTTCTTTTGGTTTTGTAGTTGTTTTGCCTTTCTCCCCTTTCTTCCTCGTACCCTATTAAGGTCTGACATCCCATGTATTTTTAGATTTCCATTAAGCTTTAGAGGATAAATTCACTAAGGAGCAGTTTGGAGTATAGAAGCTCATCAGTTTGATATTCTTGTGGAAGTTGTTTTTCCCCATGTTGGACAAAATACAGTAAAGCTCCTTATTTCATTTATATATTATATGTTTGTTAATTCATGAACCCTTTCTGTAGCCCCAGTGATTGCAGTGGGTTCTGGGATGATGCATATGCCTGTGCTTAAATCTTCAAAATACGCTAATTTTACGGAAGTCTCTTGAAAATAGTAAACATATACGTTTGATCCTGATTGAATGGGGCATTTAAGTTGTAAAAATTCCTATCTATTCATACCATCTAATGTGATTTTTACATGATTTCAGAAATAACACTTTAGAGTATATTCAATAGACTTCAGCCTCACCCTCTTGTACACAGTATTTTGTAATAGAAAATATTTTAAACTGTGCATATTATTATCACATTGAGACATACATTCCTTTGATCTTCAGAAGTAAGAAAATGAGGAATGTGTGCTTTTATAAATATAAGTGGTTGCAAATTCATATTCCTTACTACTGCAGTTGTCCTTTTTTAAAATAATAAAGAAAGGAAAAAAAAAGCCAAGTGTTTTGAAGGTGAAATACATTCCTATTTGGTAAACTTTACATTTTTATGACGACTACCAGCATTGCTGACTTTCTAAACAAAAGGCTGTATTGTCTTCCTGTACCATTCCATTTTCTGGTTTCCGCTTTGCACAAGGATATGTGAGTAAATATTCAAGAAATGGTTTGAAATACAGGAGGGGGTTGTCCAAGTTGGAATGCAGAATTGCAATATAAAATGTAAGGAAATGGATGCCTGTCAGAATGCCTGACGCCAAAGGATTTTATATATATAGTAAACAGTTCCCTAATGCTGGCAGGCCAGAGAGACTGTTGAATACTGCAGTTTTTGGAGACCTCTATTTCTCCACAAGGTAAGATGGTATCCTAGCAAATGTGCATTTCAATACATTTTTAGCAGAGGTACTTAAATAATCTGTAAATTTAGGAATAATTTCATTTTTTAGATGTTATACTTGAAATACTGCACAACTTTTAGCTTTCATAGGTTTCTTTTTTTCAGCCTTTAGGAGACTGTTAAGCAATTTGCTGTCCAACTTTTGTGTTGGTCTTAAACTGCAATAGTTTACCTTGTATTGAAGAAATAAAGACAATTTTTATATTAAAAAATACTTTTGTCTGTCTTCATTTCAGCTTGTCTAATTTCTTTGCAATTCTCATTATTGACAGACTTCAAATTTTCAGGCATTAAAACTTGGAGGGTGGACTTTTTGAGATAGATT